GAGAGAGAGAGAGAGAGAGAGAGAGAGAGAGAGAGAGAGAGAGAGGGGGGAAGAGCGAAAGGCAGCGAGGGGACTGGGAGAGACAGAAATTTGAAAGAGAGATGACGAGAGAAAGGGAAGAAATTGCAGTTGACCTGGTGACCGCTAGTCTATTGACTGCAAAGCGAACATTATTGCCAAGCGCAATTTTTAACACGTAATATAAAGTCAGTGAGAGTGAGAGTACCAGCTGATGCATCACCTCGGGAAGAAATGCTTATACTCATTATCCGAGTCAATCAGGACATTATGCATAGCACTGCGCGCCCACTCTCTGCTGAGCTGCTGGGGCCCATTGTCAAAAACAAATCTAGTCTCAACATTAACAAATGCTTAACAAATAACAATAACAATATTAACAACATAACATCAAACAATCAACACAAAACACAAACAAACAACAATATCAACAGCATCAACACATCAAACAAACAAACAAACAACTATAACCACATTAGCAAATTATTTCTTAACAACTCTAGTCTCAACATCTTTTTTTCGTAGACCGGATCTCCTCCATACACTGCGTAGGAGAAACTCACCCTATTACTTTACCCTATTTCTGTCTAAACCTTGCCGAAGCATTCACAGCTGTGCGCAGCTGGCTGTGGGATATTTGTAGGAGACCAAGCTTGCTTATTTACGAAAATCTCTCGGTGCAACGTTCGCTACGTCCACCAATCTCCAGTGAGGTTTGAAAACGATTGGCTATAAAGTCGGGTTGCCTATGAAGTCAGTTTGTTTTTAATAGTTTTTGTTGTTTTGAGTCTGATCGGTGTTAAACTCGGATTGGTTTCGATGTCGCTTGTCGTTAATTTCACCATCCGAAATTCCGAATTTCGCACTGAAATCGTATATAGCTGCGATGCCGCGAGCCGAGCGCCAGTCCAGCGACCCCATTGGTTCTCCGTCGTTTGAACTCTAGCTCACTATGGCAACGGTGAGGAGCAGTAGACGCGTCCGCATGCGTAAACTTCCCCCCCCCTCCCCCACACGCATTTTTGTTGCGGTTGGCGCTCGCGCTGTAATTTCACGCGCAAATGTTTGGGAATGCGGTAAAAATTTCTTGCTTCGCCGATCGCCCTAATGACATTTGATGCGGACCGACCCGGGTTAGGTCGAGCCAGACGATAATCATGCAGGCTAGGATGCTGCAGTCCGAAGCATATAGGGCTCGGCGCAATTAAGATTGTCACACAAGATGTCGGGGGAAGATTGCTCGGCAGGGGGCGTGGTGGGAGTTATCAGATCTGGTCCATCTGGTCTCCATCATGTGTCCATCATCATTTCATGATCTAGATGTGCTGCGCCCTTCCCTGTCATCCTTTACAGTATGGAATCCCTCCACTCGCTGCAGCCGGAACATATTTAGTCTGAAAACACTATACTGGTGTATACGGATATTCAGCTGCTAGGTGGCAGCACTGCTGTATACTAGCATGCTCACGCCATTCTCTAATTGTCTTTTACAGATCTCTCGCGTCTCAATGTGTTGCCGCCCGATCGGGACCGCTTTGAGCAGACAGGGGGCGCTGCGGCTGCCGTGAATACAAGCGCGGCGGACGGACCCATCATAGCTGTTCTTGTGTTCTCCTGCAATCGGCCGACGGTGTCTCGTAACTTGGACCAGTTGATCAAGTGAGTAATCGCTGCATCGATGATCTCGCTGCGCTACGGCGAAGGGTGCTGAATAATTTGCGTGCGCATTTGAAGTAGATGAGTTCTAGTGTAACTGATGCACACATCCGACGCTTAACTCTAATAATAACCATTGCACTAAACTTCACCTTAACTTCAACCATAACCCTAGTTTTAATCTTATCTCTACCCTTCTCTACTTCTTATGCTCAACTACTGCCCTAACTCTGACCTCAACCACACACCTTAAGCTAGCTTTAACCACATCTACCCTAACCTAAATAGTAAATCTAACCAGAGCCGTTTTTCTAACTCTATTCCCGACCCCAATCTCAACTCTCATGCCGGCCCTAGCCATAATTTACCGCTTCCTCACGCTATCCATAACATCCACTATCCATACTTGTCATGAATTAATACGAACCGATAATTAATTTAACGATAATAATAAATTTGCCACCGAATCATCACAATACCTCGCCGATACTACCGTCCTTTAGCTTAATGGGTTCGAACGCAGCACAATGACCTGTAGTCTGCCTGACGTGGATGCGTGGAACATTGCCGTGCCCGCTTGACCTTTCCCTGTGGTTTGACGTATGCAGTTGACCTTGCATATTCCCAGGTACCGACCTTCAGCCACCAGCTTCCCGATCATCGTCAGTCAGGACTGCGGCGACAAGCCAACTGCGGCCGTCATCCAGGACTACGTGAAGCGACGAGACGTGCTGACTCACATCAGGGTAGGTTGTCCGAGCCGCCCGTTGCCACGGCGACGAGACGTGCTGACTCACATCAAGGTAGGTTGTCCGAGCCGCCCGTTGCCACGGCGACGAGACGTGCTGACTCATATCAAGGTAGGCTGTCCGAGCCACCCGTTGCCACGGCGACGAGACGTGCTGACTCATATCAAGGTAGGTTGTCCGAGCCGCCCGTTGCCATGGCGACGAGACGTGCTGACTCGCATCAAGGTAGGTTGTCCGAGTCACCCGTCGCCACGGCGACGAGACGTGCTGACTCACATCAAGGTAGGTTGTCCGAGCCACCCGTTGCCATGGCGAAGAGACGTGCTGACTCACATCAAGGTAGGTTGTCTGAGCCGCCCGTCGCCACGGCGACGAGACGTGCTGACTCACATCAAGGTAGGTTGTCCGAGCCGCCCGTTGCCACGGCAACCCGGCGTGCTGACTCACATCAAGGTAGGTTGTCCGAGCCGCCCGTCGCCACGGCGACGAGACATGCTGACTCACATCAAGGTAGGTTGTCCCAGCTGCCCGTTGCCACGGGGACGCGGCGTGCTAACTCACATCAATCGCCGTGGCGACGGGCGGCTCGGACAACCTACCCGAGACGTGCTGACTCACATCAAGGTAGGTTGTCCGAGCCGCCCGTCGCCACGGCGACGCGGCCGCTGACTCGAGCTTTTCTGAGCTCTGGCGTCAGTGTGATCCCTAATGAACTAAAAATTGTGTCAACTTGTTGTAATTAATTCGGTGTGGCGCTGATGGCGTGTGTGTGTGTGTGTGTGTAGGTTTAAAAGGTTAAGCGCAGGCTGCCTGTGTTCTAATTGGCTCGGCTCGGTTGTTAATGAATCATTACTAATACACTACTAGTATTACGCATTATACATTATACATTATAATTACACATTATACACTACCCGGCACGTGGGCCCGGGGGAGGGGGGGAGGCACTCGCATCAGAACTGGGTAGGGGGGTGCCTCGGGGACCTTGAAAACCTGACCTTGCCGCAAACCGCTTTGCGCCCTAAAATACACCCTGTCCCAATATACTGCACTGAAAATTATACCCTGTTGCAATATTGCACACTTCGGTTATGTCCTGTCCTCCTGTCAGTATAGGCAGATTTTGTTCCAATATTGGCCTGGTGATATTGGCCCAATATTGTCTTGCCAATATTGGGCCGATATTGAACCAATATCTGCCTATATTGGTCCAATATTGGCCTGGTGATATTGGCTCAATATTGTTTTGCCAATATTGGGCCAATATCAGCTTGATGGGTGGTATCTAGATATCCCTGTGCCAATAATGATGTTCGGAAAACATACCCTGTCCAGCGGCACGTCCCCAGTACCTTTAACAATGAGAGTGCCCCCCCCCCCCTGGGCACATGGGCCTTCCCCCGTCTGTCACTGAATACATTCGTCTAATTTAGGCTGACATTTTAATAGCCGATGCAGTTTAATGCCTTCCTATAAAGACCATGCCTGTATACTATACCTTTTCTAGCCTTTCTACTTCTACTTGTGCACTTGTATACTGTTGCTCTGCCTCTACTCCTGCCTGTCTGACATGATAATAGGCCTCGTTATGTATTGCGTTCCACGAAAAAAAAGTTCGTAATGCGAAAATCCGTAACGCGGAAATCTCATTTTCCCCTAATTGAATTCCGTTACATAATTGGAGGTACGTGAAATTTTTTCAGATAAAATGTGTACTAGAAGAACACTGAATGCAACTACACATTTTTTTAAATGCATATATTGGTTACTTAATGACGTGACAGTATGATAATACAGGGGAGCAAATTGGAGTCACTAGGAGGGGAGAGGGAGCGGCGAGCGCGCACTATCACCAGCTGGCGTAGGTTTGTTTGTGTGCTTCAAGCACCGCTAACTTCAAGGAGGCCAAAATTTATCTAAAAAAGCCAGTTGCTGTTTAGGGCGGGCTGTAGCAGCTGAAGTCGTTGCGGCATTGAAACGATACGGGACGCAGGGGGTAATGATGGCAGGAGCACGCGCGCATTTCATGAACAGCGTAGGACAAAATCTATAATGCGATATCGAGGTACGCTAAACGTACCAGAGATGAACCGCCCGACCCGTGTTGGCGGGCGTGGCGACTGCATATTAATTTAGCACATAAATTTTATTTACAGTGATTGAGCACGCCACCTTTTGTGTTAAATGACCCGCTAAACCTTTTTCAAAATTCCGTAAGAGCGATTTGCGTTTCCTAAAACCGAGTTTAGTGCTGATAGTTTGCAAGTTATCGTAATGGGCGAGTTGTCGTGCCCCAGAGTTGCGGTTGTTATTTTAAACTAACGCTTGTGAAACCACGTAAGGGCGAATTTGTGTAACCCAAGTTGTCGTAGCGCGTGCTGGGGGTATTACCGTACTTCTCAGCGGTGGATGCAGGATTTCAAGAAGGGGTGAGAAACAGGCAGGGGGTATGGGGGTCCTCCCCTAGAAAATTGTGAAAATGCAGATCGCAGGAGATGGTATTTGAGGCACTTTTGAGTACATGTACAGCTTTCATTCTGGCTACGACAATTCTCTTTTTAGTAGAACAATTCTCTG